CTCATCTTGTTTGTTCCTAGGAAGTTTTAAAGTGTAATGTTATGGAACATGAATGAGAAACTGGATTTACACTGGATAGCAAATATTCTGCATTGACCATTTTAAGAGGCATTTTATTTCATAATTTAATATATTTAGAGTCTATCTTTCAAGGCAAAAAGCCCTTTCAAGATTGCCTTCAAAAGTTTAAAACAATAATTTACATGCAATTAAAATGTTTGTGTGATCCATAGGTAGCAAAAGTCACCCAGTGACCCCATTTATTTTATTTATATCTCACCTCTTTCCCATCAAGGAAATCAAAGCAGTTTACATAATCCTCGTTCTTTCGCAACAAACCTGTGAGATAGGTTATGCTGAGAGTCAGTGACTGGTTCAAAACTGACCTAAAATCCAGTGGGATTTATGGCCGAGTGGTGACTAGAACCTGGATCTTCCAGTTCCTAAGTCCATCATTCTAAACACTACACTGGTTCAGTTGAGATAGTTGTATTTAATGCAAGAGGCTAAAGGCTGTTAGTATCTCAACAGGGCTATGTTTCTTATGTAGACATTTGCTGGACTTAACTAAAAGTGCTTCTTCTTGAAAAGAAATAGCAGTTGTCAAGCACCATCTTTTCCTGAACGTCCGCCAGCCATTTCTTGTGAGCCCTGCTATGCTGATGGAATGCCACATGCATCAACACCGTGACAGGTATGTTGGCAGAATAGATTGATGGTGGAATGCACTGCCAGTGAAGATACAGTGAAGAATCCTCAGCCCAAACAGAGCAGAGCCATGGGGGGCAGTGAGGCAAATTTGCACCACACCCAATTCCCCGTCCATCTACAGCTATACCCTCCTCAAGAAAGCTACATTGCACCAGCCCCAGGCTTGGCATAAAAGTTCTTCACATTGATGGAAAGGGGAAGCGGAAAAAGCCACCTTCCTCAATAAGCACCCCAGCCAGTCTGCCATGACCATGCAGAAGATACGGTGTAATGGAGGAACATCCCTATCTGTATATTAATGCTGAACTCCAAAGACAGGATGCAGGGATGGGGCTACCTTGCTTTGGTCCTATGGGATCCATGTGTGTTGCTCGTAAGGAGAATTTCTGATGAAGGAAACCCAAACAGTCCCTTCTCCCGCAGTGTCTAAAAGGGGAATGTGATGCCAGGTGGAAGGATGAGCTACTTGCAGAAGAGGACTAAACATGCTGCCTTAATTTAAAATGTTACTTGAATGCAGGAGAAATTCCGTGCTTACGGTCACTGAGCCCATTGAGGCACCAATCTGTTAGGATGCACATCTTGAGTCTCAGCTGTCACTGGTTGCCTCTGCTTTGCATCAAGTAAGTGAATGGCAGAGAGTTCCCATCAGGCAAGGAGCTGTTTACCGTTCCGCCCTGGGGCTCGGCTCGGCTTGGCCACAGCTGTGCTTTCTGGGCCATAAGGGAGTTTTAAAAGTCACCCTCATGGCACTCCCTTGGCTGCAGCTGAGGCAAAGGCACTGGAGCTCATCTGTGTTCTACTAATGAATCACATCTCCAGGAAAAGGAGGCTTATTCACTCTGGGCTCCATTAATTAAGCGCACAAATTGACTCGAGGGAGCGGAGCCTTTCTCTCAGGCCTGTGCTAAGCTGCAAGTGGACCAGAACCATGGCAAAGCTGCAAGTGGGCCAGAACCCTCTTTGGCACATTGACAGGTGCTGGATAGTCTCTGGGTCCACAATCTTCCCCAGCTACCTCACACTTCCCAAACAGCTTTACTACAGCTGTAAGAATGAATCACACGCAATGCATTTTAGATGCATGGCTTGACGGAACAGTAAAACAACTGATATGACAGAGCAGTGTTGAAGGCACAAGAAACAACCTGCACAGAACAGGCTCGGTACAGCTGGAGCATTTTTACTGTCATTCAGGGGCCACATGCTGCCCCATCTTTTTCAAGCAGAAGCCTGACTGAAGTTCCATTTTATACTTCTGATAGAGCTGATTCCCCCACATCCCCATAACGCCTTGCCTGCAGCATTTTTAGTTAAAGTGAACCAACTGGACCAGAGAAACAACTTCCATCTTTTGCTAGCATGAAAATGTAACTTCAGGTAAGGATGGTTTGCTTAAGGTCATGCTGTGCTTATTGCACCCTCTGGTGGACTATCTGCATAATAGCACCCTGACAGCTTTCCGCTAAAAGAGGATTAATTAATGTTGCCCCACATAGAGGGCTGACTTGATAGATGGGACCATCTTCCCACTCTCTGGCTCCTGCTTTCCACCCTCCCATGTCTGCCTCTGACAGCTCCCTCTTGCAGTGAGCAGGTCATGTGACACCAATGCAGACTGAATAGTGGCAAGCAAAACTGGTGCATCTGATTAGGGGGAAGGGATCTTAATTACATCTCAGCTGGATATATGTACAGTATTTGATCCATTTAGATGTATGCTGTTTTTTAAATATTGACATATCAGTATATGTCAAATTCGCCAACCCCCCCCCCCCGTTTCTCTCTCTTTTCTTTTGCCCTGAGGTGGGGGGGTGGTTCATTTAATTTTGTTTTGTTTTTGTGAAATTCACAATAAAAATAAATATACATCTTAGGTTGAATTTAATGTAGCTCCCTTTCACATCTATTCCTTGCAGGCATTAAAAACATAAGAACAACCTTGCTGGATCAGATCAAGGGCCACCTAGCCCATCATTCTGTTCACATGGTGGCCAACCGATTGCCCACAGAATATCACAACAGCCCCCGCCTGCCCAAGTAACTCCCAAACAGGTGTGCAAAGACATACTGCCTTTGATGCTGAAAGTTCACACCTAGTCATCAGGGGTAGTAGTCACAGGTTCTTCCATGAATTTATCCAAACTCCTTTTAAAGCCATTCAAATTGGTGACCCTCACTACATCTTGTACGGATTCACTATGAAGTGAATCCCATAGTTTAGTATCCACTGTTTGAAGAAGTACTTTCTTGAAACTCTGACCAGTTAATTAGCTATCTAACATTGTGAGGTCAATCCATCCATCACAGTGGACAGGGATTCTGTGAATAAGCATAATCTCCACTCAGAAAATTCACCATAAATGCTGTGGTATTTTCCTATCTGTTGTTTGATCCCTTTCTAGCCAGAATCACTTGTAGTTAATCAAGGAAGAAGAAGATGCAGTAAAGATCAGAGAGGGGCATCACTGCAGCAACAATATGAATTGCATCTCTGACCAAGACTGAAAGAAGTACACATTCTTACAGTTCAGGTTTGTTTGTTGCATTCCCTAAAAGTACTACTTTTGACATGAACTTCAAGACAGGAAAATATTAATTAAGGTTCTAAGTATAAAGCTGGGAGGCTAAAGAAACCCCAAGTAAAGAGCTGGCAAAGTGATCTTGGGGATCTCTCTGTTATGTTAAATCAAAATATTGTTATATGGTACACTTAATGCAATAGATTTAATTTACAGTCCAGAAAAATGCAATAGTAAAAGAGTGTTGCAGAGAAAAGCAGAATAGTCTGATACTGCTTTAGGAGAGTTCTTGCACACCCAAGACTGGTGTGCCATATCTCCCTTTTCATGGATTAAATAAATTGTCCCTAGCATGTAAGGGATGATGCAGAGATGCTGCCAAGCTTTCCTGTATCCTCACAAAGGTCTCCAGCATCTACCCTTGGGGTGCATAATTATACTGAAAGTGTGCATGTGATAGATGTAGATACCCACATAAAATCCTGGTTAGCATTTAGCTGGAAAATTTTCCTGATCCACAAAGCTCTATAGTGTATATTATGATATCATTGCATGATTATATTATAATGAATGCATAAACTGAAGCTCAATCCAGACAAGACGGAGGTCCTGCTGGTGGGTGGCTCGGGCCTCGGGATGGGGGATTTGGGCCTTGTCCTATATGGGGTTGCACTCCCTCTGAGGGACAGGGTTCACAGCTTGGGAGTGCTCCTCGACCCTGAGCTGTCTCTAGAAGCTCAGATGACGGCAGTGGCGAGGAGCGCCTTCCTTCAGCTTCGGCTGATACATCAGCTGCGTCCCTTCCTGGAGAATGACTGCCTGGCGACAGTGACACATGCGCTGGTAACTTCCCGATTAGACTTCTGTAACGTGCTCTATGTAGGGCTACCCTTGAAGATGATCTGGATACTTCAATTAGTGCAGAATAGAGCTGCCAGGTTGCTAATGGGGACTGGGCGTTGTTCTCATATAACTCCAGTTCTCCATCAGCTCCACTGGCTCCCAGTTGAAGTCCGGGCCCAATTCAAGGTGTTGGTTATGACCTATAAAGCCCTAAACAGCTTGGAACCTGGATATCTAAAGGAACGCTTGCGCCCATATATGCCCTCCTGCCCCTTGAGATCAGCAACGGATGCCCTTCTCCGGGAACCCTCTGTGAATGATATAAGGAGGGTGGGTACCCGGAGGAGGGCTTTCCCTGCGGTGGCGCCCCATCTATGGAATGCGCTCCCCAGAGAGGTCCGCCTGGCGCTGTCGTTATTTGCTTTTCGGCACCAGGCTATGACCTTTTTATTTAAAACTTATTTTAATTGCTAAATTATTGTATTAATTAGGATTTTAAAAATTTTAGCCGAGAATGCACTGGCGGTTTTAAATGTTGTTGTTGTTGTTGTTTTTCTTCTTCTTTTAATTGCTATATTATTATTATTTATGTATGTTTCATGTATTGTGAGCCACCCCGAGGCTTTGTTGCGATGGGGGTGGCATAGAAATGTTTTAAATAATTAATTAATTAAATCAATCAATAAGAGCAGAATCTGCTGCATATCTGAACTGATGGCTCATAAAGAAAAAGAAAAGAAAAAGAAATAGAGCAAAGTTGCCTACCTGACTTTATGGATTATTCACTCCCAGTATAATGTACTGTTTCTAAACTGTATGCTTTCAAAGATGCTATTGGCATTTACTGAATTCGGTTCATAGTGCAGTCACTTCTGCCTCCCCCTCCAAGTTTGCTGAACCCATGGCATTAAAAACTGCTCTCACTTTTCTGATCAATGCATTCTCGGAGTACTTGTCACCCTCTGACCACCTCCTCTCCACTGTTCTCTTTTCATTCACCTGCAAGGATACAGAAGGGGATATTGATTCATTCAGAAACAACAAGGCTTCAGTACAAGCTAGGAGGTCCAGGTGACTCTTCCAGGAAAACTGAGGGATCATTGATTAGGAGCAGGCAAGAACCAAAGAGATAAGAGATTTTCAGGTGAATGTAAGCACATTAGGGCAGAAAGAAGGGAACTGTTGGGAAGCAAGAAGGAGAAGAACAAAGTTCTTACCAAATCTCTTCTATTCCACCCTGCTGCCAGAAAGGAGGAAAGAAAGGTCCATAGTTAAAAGCTCGGTCTTTGATATCAAATGAGTGCTTTCAGGCAAAATTAGCACATAGGCAAAAAACTTCTGCACAGCTAGGGTGGCTGCAAACATACCACCAAAATGAGGACAAAAGAGAGGACAAATTTGCTTATAGTTTGTACATGCTAATCTACATGCACAGCTGCAACTTAGAAATATTTACTGTAATTTAAATAGAAACATGATACATTTCCCCACAATGAAGAAGATTATAGCCAAAACACTTGCGCATCTGTTCAGTCTGCTGCCCAGGTGTTAATGCTGATGGGCAACTTCAAGCACTCACTCTCTCCTTATGGTTCTTTTTCTTTAAACTGGATAACTGGTGAGCTCTTCAAACTACAGTAAGAATGACAAATAGAAGAGTGTTCTGCGTAAAGAAGGACACAAGGCCAGGGCCACCCTATGCACAGCAGTAAAACACACTATTGCTGATTTCATTTCTATAGAATGTTTGACCTGAAGGCTGCTTTACTTATGCCAGGCAAGACTTGGCCAGAATAATGCACCCAGAAGCTACACAATAGGAATTATTTGAGTACACCTTCACTCTCCAGAGTCCTTAATCATGCCCACCATTGGGTTTGCCTTGATGAAGGCCATTATTCTCATTTTATAGATGAAAACTAGAAGTCGCTATGGGTTAGCTCCAAAGGTAGGCTTTCACGTGCAGCAGGTATCTTGCAGAATACTCACAGAAGAGCTGAATGGCTGGTGCCTTGCACTACAGCAATGCACAGAAAAGTGAAAATAATCCAAATACATTCTTCCACTGCACAAGAGGTTGTGCAAACTCTAGCTTAGGTGCAAGCATGAGAACTGCAGTGGAAACACGGAGCTGAGGCTGCAAAGCATTTGCAGAAGGTTCTGGTTTTAACTCCTGACATAAAAATGATCAGGAAGCAGATGATGAAGAAGCCTTCCGCATGTTTTTCTGGAACTCCCTGGCTTTCTCCATGATCCAGCATATGTAGGCAATTTGATCTCTAGTTCCTCTGCCTCTCTGAAACCCTGCCTGTACTTCTGGTAGTCCACATACTGCTGGAGCCTAGCTTGTAGGATTTTGAGCATAATTTGCTAGCATATGAAATGAGTGCAATGGTGTGGTAGTTTGAACATTCTTTGGCATTGCCCCTCTTTGGGATGGGAATATAAACTGACCTTTTCCAATCCTGTGGCTACTGTTGAGTTTTCCAAATTTGCTGGCATATCGAGTGCACACTTTTACTGCATCGTCTTTTAGGATTTTGAATAGCTCAGCTGGAATACTGTCGCCTCCACTAGCTTTGTTGTTGCTCAGACTTCCTAAGGTCCATTTGACTTCACATTCCAGGATGTCTAGCTTGAGGTCAGTGACCACCCCATTGTAGTTATCAGGGACGTTAAGTTCTTTCTTGTATAGTTCTTTTGTGTAATCTTGCCACCTCTTCTTAATCTCTTCTGCCTCTGTTAGGTCCCTGCCATTTTGGTCCTTTATCATGCCCATCTTTGCATGAAACGTTCCCTTCG